ATTGCACAATTTAAAATGGAAAAACATCTAAATTTTATTATTGTAAACTTAAAACATAAAAATAGATGATACTCAAAAGATTATCTAGAAAAAAAAAGAAAACAATAGCAGATATAAGGAGTAGCTACTATCCCTCGGTTGAGGCAGGGGGCCCTTGACTACATCTGTCCCCAAATCCCATCTTTGTATTTCTGTCTCCTAGTACCATCCACAGTGCCAATCCTGTATCTGTCAGGGTCCAATCAGGAGACATAAACCACAAAGAAATTGAACAGGTGAAGTTTAATATAAAGAATTATTATAACAGAGGAGCAGAGTAACCAAGGGCTGGCTAGTAAAAAGTGAAGAGAACTCTAAAGAATATAATAGCAGATATAAGGACTAGCAAAAAAAATAGATGATACTCTAAGTGACATGAAAGAAAACAAGGAAATTACAGGAAAAAAACAAACAAAAATGATGCCAGGAGAAGGGAAGTAAAATTCGGGTCTGGGAGTGGGTTGATTCTTAGAATTTGATGACAGTGTTGGTGGTTGCAGAGACATCTCAGCCCATAGGGGTGGTGATGCCTGAATTGGCTCTGGGTCTCATAGAAGTATGTGTGTAGGTGCAGGAGGAGCTACAAGATCAGGCTCAGGATCTCCCTGCAGGACTGTTAATGTAACCTGGCTCTAGGTCTCCTGTAGGTCTAGTCTTACAGTCTGCAGAGCTGGTAGGATGTGACACGGTTCTGTGCTTTTTGCAGGTGCAGTCTCGGGTTCCCCTGCAGGGTTGATAGAATGGGACCCAGTCCTAGGTCTCCTGCAGGAACCAGCTCAGGATCTCATGCAAGACCAGGCTCAGGGTCTCCTTGTAAGGCTTGTGGAATGAGACCCCATCATTTTTCCCCTGCAGCAGCAGATTCAGGGTGTCCTTGCAAGGTTTTGCAATTTCACCCTACTCTATATCTCCTGCAGGAGCAGGCTCGGACTGTCCCTGCTGGGTTGTTGGAATATGACCCATCTCTGATTCTCTTTCAGAAGCAGGCTCAGGGTCCCCCTACAGGGCTAGTCGATTTTGTTCCTGTCTTAGGTCCCTTGCAGTTGCAGGATTGGGGTCTCCCTTCAGGGCTGGTGAAATGTGACTCATCTGTTGGTCTCTTGCAGAAACATGCAGAGTTTCTCCCTGCAAGCCTTGTGGAATGAGACCCAGTTCTGGGTCTCCTACAGGAGCATGCTCAGGGTCTCTATGCCGGGCTAGTGGAATTGGACCTGGCTAATGGTGTCCCTGCAGTGCTGCTGGAATTGGTCCAATTCTTGGGTGTCTTGAAGGTGCAGGCTCTAATTCTCCCTGCATTGCTAGTGAAATGTGACCCAGTTGTGGTTCTCCTGAAGGAACAGTCTCAGGGTTTCCCTGCAGGGCTGGTGGATGGGACATAGTCCTGGGTCTCCTGGAGGAGCAGGCTCATGGTGCAATATGACAAATCTCAGGTTCTCCTGCAGGAGTAGGCATGGGGCCTTCCTGCAGGGCTAGTGGAATTGGACATGGCTCATGGTCTCCCTGCAGTGCCATTGGAATTGGTCCAATTCTTGGGTCTTTTGAAGGTGTAGGTTACAGGCTGATAAATTACCTGTAGGGCTGGTGGAATGTGACATGGCTCTTAGTCTAATGCCAGAGCTGATTCAGGGTCTTTCCACAGGGTTGGTAGAGTTGGTCCCAGGCCTGGGCCTCCTGCATGTGCAGGCTCCGGTATCCCTGCAGGGCTTGTGGAATGTGACTGGGTTTCTGTTTCCTGCAGGGGCAGGCTCAAATTCTCTTTGCAGTGTTGCTGGAATGGCACATGGTTCTGAGTTTCCTGCAACAGCAGGCTTATGTTCTTCCTGCATGGCTAGTGGAATATGACTCAGATATTGGTCACTTGCAGGAGCAGGCTATTTTTCTCCCTGCTGGGATGCTGGAATCAGACCCTGTCCTGGGTCTTCTGCAGAAGCAGCTCCAGGTCTTCCTGCAGGGCTGTTGGAACATGACCCATCACTGGTTCTGCTTCAGGAGTAGGCACAGAGTCTCCTTGCAAGGATAGTGTAATTGGACCCAGCTCAGGGGTCACTACAGGGCTGATGGAATGTGACCTGGCTCTGTGGTTCCTGCAAGTGTAGTTTCTGTGTCTCCCTTCAGGGTTGGTTTAATGAGACCCATTCCTTGGTCTCCTGTAGTAGTAGGATCAGAGTCTCTCTGTATGGCTGGTGGAATGGGCCCCTTCTCTAGGTCACCTGCCAGAACAGATTTGGACTCTGCCTTCAGGCTGGTGGAATTGGGCCTGTTCTTGCATCTCCTGCAGGAGCAGGCCTTGGGTCTTCCTGGAAGAATACTGTAATATGACCCATCTCTGGTTCTCTTGCAGAGAAGCTCATGGTCTCCCTAGAAGGTTAGCAGAATTTGTCCCATTCCTTGTCCAAGGCTCAGGGTATCCCTGCAAGGTTGGTGGAATGGGACCTAGTCCTGTGTCTCCTGCAGTAGCAGGTCTGTTCTCTTTGCAGGGCTGGTGGAATGTGACTCCACCCTGTGGTTCTTTTGCAGATGCAGGCTCAGGGACCCCACCAGAACTGATGGCTTTTAGTCTCCTATGGGAGCAGGTGAGGGATTCCCTGGAGAGCTGTTGGAATTGGTCCCAGTCCTAGGTCTCTTACAACTGCAGGCTCAGTGTCTCCCTGCAGGGTTTGTGGAATATGACTTGGCTGTGGGTATGCTGCAGGAGCAAGCTCAGTGTTTCCATGCAGGGTTGGTGGAATGGGATCTAGTTCTGGCTCTCCTGCAGGAGGAGGCTGGGGTTCTCCCTGGAGAGGCTGATGGAATTGGACTGGGATGTCTGTCTCCTGCAGGAGCAAGCCTACGGATTACCTGCAGAGCTGGTAGAATGTCACACAACTCTTGTTCTTCTGCAGGAGCTGGCTCATGTTCTCTGTGAATGGCTTGGTCTCCCCCAGGAGCAGGTTTGTAGTCTCACTACAGGGCTGGTGTTATGTGACCCGCACTGTGTTTTCTGCAGATGCAGTCTTAGTGTTTGACTGCAGGTTTGGTGGAATGGGACGAAGTTCTGGGTTTCCTGGAGTAGCAGGCTCACGGTCTCCCTTCTGGGGTATTGGAATGTGACCCAGTCATGTGTTTCCTGCCGAAGTGGCCTCAGGATATCCCTGCAGGGTTGTTGGAATTGTACCTCACTGTGTATCACCTGCAGGATCAGGTTTGTGCTCTCCCAGCAAGGCTGGAGGATTTTGACCTATTCCTGGGTCTCCTGCAGAAGCAGGCTTTCAGTCTTCCTGCAGGGCTTCTGGAATATGACATATCTCTAATTTTCCTGCAGGATCAAGCTTGTGGGTCACCCAGCAAGGCTAGTGGAATTGGACCCACTTCAAGGTCTTCGTGCATGTTTGATGGAATGGGACCCAGTCCTGGGTCTCCTGCAGGAATTGGCTCAGAGTATTCCTGCAGGACTGGTGAAATTGGACTGATTCCTGAGTCTCCTGCAGGAGGAAGCCCTGCATCTTCCTGGAGGGATGGTGGAATATGACAGAGATCTGTTTCCCCTGCAGGAACAGGCTCAAGGTCTCCCTACAAGGCTAGTGTAATTGGACACATTCCTGGATCCATTGCAAGTGAAGGCATGATGGTCTTCCTACACAGCTGGTGGAATGTGATTCGGCTCTGAGTCTCCTGCAGGAGTAGGCTTAGGGTCTCCTTGAAAGATTGGTGAAATGGGACACAGTGCTGTGTCTCCTGCAGTAGCAGGCTCAGGTTCTCCCTACAGTATTGGTAAAATTGGACCTGGCTCTAATTCTCCTGCAGTTGCAGACTGAGGGTATAACTGCATGGCTGGTTGAGTGTGAAGGAACAGCAAGTCTTAATACATTGGCCCACTCCTGGGAAAAGGATAAACAGGGCTTGGTGCATGGTCTCTTGCATTGTCTGAAAAAGCCCCTTGAGATGTGTTGATTCTGATGACCTCTTCCAAGAACTTGAACACTTTTAGAATCTCTGTCAACTCATCTTGTTTAGACTGAAGGAATCTGCCTTTCATCAGTTCTTGGAATAGAGATCAACACAAAAGGAAAGAGGGAAGAAAAAATTACCAATCTATCTGTTGAGAAATCAGCTGAAGACATTAAAAAGTTCTCTTGCAATGCACTTATTTCTATTTTGGTGCATTTAGAATCATTTCCTTATTATCAATTTTTGCCATTTAAATTAGAATATATACTGTTGTAGGCCTACTGGGGTTCATTATGCTTGGACGCTCTGTGCTTGCTGTGTTGAGATAGCCGGTTCTATATTTGGTTTAAGAAAATTTCAGTCTGATTTCTTCAAATACCTTTTCAAACCATTTGTCTTTATTCTTTTCCATGTGGGATCCCTATGAGTCATACACTGGTATGTTTTCTCTTATCCCAGGTTTCAGTTGCATTGCTTACATTGGTTTTCACTTGCTTTTCTATGTCGTGTTCTGACTGAGTGATTGCGGTTATCCTGTTTTCTAAGTCACTTATTTGTTCCTGTGCATTATCTAGTCCGATTTGGACTGTCTTTAGCTTAGCTATTCTCACCATTGAGTTTTCTGATTATATTTGGCTCATCTAAAGTGTTTCTCTTTCCATTTATACTAGCCTGCATTTGTATTCATAGACTCAAGATTTCCTCCAGTGTTTTTATGTCCTCCCTTTTCAAGTCATGTTCTAGTAAATTTTGGGGGTCTAATACATTGGATGTTCTTTCAGGAGACTCCTGTCTTTTGAAAATTTGGAATAGTTCTTTTAACTTTATTATATCTCTCTATCGCTATGGGTTAAGGATTATCAGTTATCTATTATAGACTTGAATGGCTTTTGTAAGTGAAATCATTTCTGTGCACATTTAGTTTTAATGCTGTGAGGATTGTTTTTGGTATGTAATGATGGCATGCATTCCTTCTGTGTCCATTGCCTGTTATATCTATGATTGCTAGTGTGGTTTTTGTTGTGGTGAATACATCCTATTCTAGTGAAGTTAGCAGAGTGTCATTTTGGTTAAATGCTTATCATAGCTCTGACAGTGCTGGGACTAGTCATTTTTGCTGAAATAGAGGCTTCCAAATGGTTTCTGGGCTGCAGGCTGGATATGTGGAGAGGGAATGTTTCCAATACACTCTCATGAAAGTGCATTTGTCCTTACTGTTTCCACGGAAAAGTCAAAATTTTATAATGGGTTCCCTCAGGTTCTCTGCAAACAAAAACAAAAGTGGAAACAAATCTAATGATGTCATACATTAGAACCTGCTGAAACAATCCTGCAGTGCCACAATTGGGTCCTTAGTGTAGTACTGGGTCAGCACCACAACTATAGTTGCATTAGCATGTGGTAGGCAAGGTTGATGGAAAGCCTTCAAATTCCCCTATTTTTCAGCAGATCTCTGCTCCAAGAATTCTTGTCAATAAGGCATGGGAACTCAAAGGCAAGCATGGAGCATTTCAAAAACCTCTGCTTTGGACAATAAGAAATTTCAATCCTGCCTATGAAATTTGCAGATCTTTTGGCTATAGAATCTTATTTCAACACTAAATTGCCCTGGATTCTAGAAACCAGATAAAGATGGCTCTGATTGAGACCATTTCTCCTTTATGGATAAAATGAGCAATTATACTGTGGATGTGAAAAGACTGTGACTAAGGCCCTGGGTTACTAAGCTAATCCACAACACATATGCCAGCAGATTTAATATTAAGAGAGGACCCAGGCAGATCTGTTCTCTAGATAGTACCAACCACAGCCCAAAACAATCTCCAAACCCCTGGGAATAAATTTGTGACATCAGCCACAGCCCTAACACACAGATTACACAGGAACTCCTAGCTCAAAATAGGCAGATGGAGTATTGGTCTGGGAATCAATTGCAGAAAACTTTTGTCATTATTGTTTTCAGTTATGTCAATCAAACGTCCAACTATGCACTCTTTTAACCCTCAGCGCATCATCTTCCATCTCAAATGACCTGTCAACTTTAGAGTGTGCATCCCAGTAAAACACAGTTTCCCCTTTACTGCTCCTTCACCAAAGGTCAGGTCCTGCACTGATTTCCATTCTCTACTTTGCCTTCTACTCTTTCCAGGTTATGTGAGAATTCTTTCTGACTTTTGAAGTAAGAGATGTTTGGCCATTATTCAGCAGGGATCCTGAGCCAAGGGCCGGGAGAGTGGATGTTTATCTTGCTGTATACGTGGGAGAGAGTGAGCGAAGTTTGCACTGGTACTCTGCCAGTTTGGCATGGATAAATTAACACAATTAAGACATAACTCACAGACACTTGATCCTTGTTTAGCTATTTTTCTCTATATCAATGGTGGAAGGATGTGTTCAAAGACTCCAGGTCTGACAATGTGTTCATACCTCCATTGCAGACTTTCAAATAGTTAACAGAATTGAATTACATACTATGGGAAATGTATCAAAATAAAGATAGTTTTAGAAATATACTAAATCTAAATACAAGACAGAGTTGCCAAACTTAGGTATCATCTTGGACTACCCAAATAAGAAAAATACACAGAAAATATAAATTAGCAGCCAAAAGTCATGAAGGAGGCAGGTCAACACTTTTCTCTTGGTGCCTCCAACACACAAAAACAATGAAATAATTCTTAGAATCATTAACAACCACAACCATGGGTTTCCATTGTTCATGTGGTGCCCTTTCCTAATAATGGCACATACTGGTCAACGTTGGCGATTCAAGGGGCAACATTACTATTTAGGAAAGCACAAAGAAACCCAAACAATATATTTTCATATAGGCTTGGTTTCAATAGCACTTAGAGACATTATTGATGTGAGAACACTGCTGCAGTTTTGCTAGACTATTGAGAATCATGTTCTCTTCTATGAAAGATGAGAATGTTTAATCGTCCAATTATGTTGAGAAACACAATTTAACCCAACACATACGGCAACCACATTATATCCTGCACCCTGTACTTGACTGAAGGGAAAAAATGGTCCACAAAAAATGTGTCACTACATATCTATGCCAACAATTACACTTCATTTCAATAACAGAATTATAATAGTTACAAATACTGTTTTGAAAAAATGAGGATAAATAAATATTCAAATTCAGGCAAAGAATCCACTCACTTACAAAACACCCTTCATACTAAAGTAGAGATAACCCCAGCATTTTCTGAATCTAGTGGAAGGTCATCATTTCAAGGTGTGAGCTAAGAATTGAAATCCAATCTATTTTAGTCGAGAGTAGTTGACCATGGAGGAGTTCACTGTTATGCACAGAATGTGAAGGTGGAGGAACTCTGATTCTAGGAAGTGGCTTCCTGTGTTCCTACTGGCTTCAATGCAGTTGAAGTGCTGATTCTTTGAAATGGATAACAGACTGGAGGGGAGGGAAGAGCAAGAGCTTGAAAGCTAGGCCCAAACCTGGGAAAAGGCTTACCAGGGCTGGGTGCTTGGTCGTCTGAGTGGTTTGTAAATGCCCCATGGGACGTGTGGATTTTCAAGACATCTTCCAAGAACATGAGAGCTTCTATCAACTCTACCTTCTCTTCTGTTTTGTACGGAAGCAATCTTCGTCCCGTTCTTGGAGCAGAGAATTCAGTACCTTCCTCAAGTGCAAGTTCACCCTCCACAGGTTACCGCCAGTATCAACGAGGCTCAATATGTCTCATGAATGTCTTATGAGCCTCGTATTCTCTACAGAAGTCTCCATGTCAGTATTCTCCATTGTAGCAGAACAACTCTCATCAATATGTTCGCATCTCTCCTCAATCCGTGCAGCCAGCTTTTCTGCCAGATTCTCTTCGTGTCTCCCATAAAGTCAAATTCTAAAGGATTGGGCACCAGTAAGCTGATGACAGGCAGATCTCCCACAGTATGCCCTTTCAGGTTCTGGAAACTGACCCATGAACTCAGGTCTTTGGGCAGCAGTAGTATCTCGAACTTACACAGCTTCCCGAACAAGAGACTTAAGCCAAGCTCCACAGAGGGTGGCAGTGCTATCATGACACTGATCCACCCACAGGGCTCTGCCCAGTTACTATGGATCCACAAGCCACAACAAGGCTTGTGGAACACACCAACATTCCACCTGGAATCCAACTGGTAACTGCCATCCCCAAAGGTTACTGCTTCTTGTCAGTGTTTGAGGAGTGGCTGCATCAGACGAGAGGTTCCTAAGGTAAAAATGATTCTCTCCATTATTGTCCCATGGTTCTTTTTTCCCTACCCTCTTTCCTTTGGTTCAGATCTCTATACATAGTACAAACGGAGGGAAGTCTCTCCAAGTTAAGTTAATGGTTTCACCTGTCTTTAAACTTTCTAACAGTTAACAGTACAAAAAGACCCACTATAGAAATCATATGTTTGTGCAATACCCATTTAGCCAGAATACATATCCGTCTGTTCTTTCCTGCTGAAACACCCACACTCTCAGAACATGGATCCATTTCTTTCATGGAGGATGAAATTCCTAGAAGTGAAGCCAGTCTCAACGTACACTTTACTGTCTGTCTCTTTAGATATTAGTACAGTTTTGTAGAGCTAATTGTCTTTGTTACAGGCATATGCCATTTAATCTCTACATAGAGTTGAATATGACATTCATTCATTCTGTTGGAAGACATGTAAGATTATATCACGGAAAATGAATACATTTTATTCAAAATAGGCATTTGGGTTAGGTCACGATGTGCTCTTATGAAGCAATATTTATGAATATTATTGCATGCATCTCTTTTCTGAATACAAATGTTCTGAGTACATACAAGAAGCGATAGTGGGTCGAAGCATGCTGAATGATCCTTGACAACCATTTGAGAATTTTCTTTTGAATTCTCATGGTTCCTTTGGATATCTATCAGTGAACCGTACACATTGGTGTTTGTTTGTTTGATTGATTTTTTGTTTGTTTCCTTATTCTTTGTTTTGCAAACCCATTAGGCCATGCATCTCTCCGTTTGCTTCAAACAGAGAGTCATATAAGCTGATTCAGTTTGCATAGTGCTGAAAATCACCTGTGTTTTCCTGCTTCCCTCTCCCATCTTGAGGGTTTTGATGTCCTCCTTGCCTTCTTCTTGTTTATTCTCTGCAACTCATGGCTCTTCTTGCATTTCCAATGATGGTTTTCTTATTTCCATTTCGTCTTGCTACTTTTCTATTCAGGGTAGAATTCTCAATTTTTCTTTTGGGATAAGTTTCAAACTGCTGAATTCTTTAAAGTTTTGCTGGTCTGTGAAATTGTCTAGTTCTGCCGTTATTAGAAATGGCGGTCTTGTGGCATAGGCTTCCCTTGATTGCAGGTTTTTCGCATTCAGGGTTTGGTCTGTTCCTGGCACTCCTTTCTGTCCTGCAATATTTCTGTCGAGATAACAGCTGAAACCCCTCTGGAGGTTCTGTTGTGACTAATTTGCTTTACTCTAGGTGCATTAAAATCACTGGGTTGATCATGAATTTTGATGATTTGATTGATAATAAAGCTGCTTGTAAGTCTATTGGGATTAAACATAATTTGGATGCTGTTTGCTCCTGGATTCATATAGATGATTGTTTCTTGGATTTCAGCAAGTTTCAGTCTGATTTGTCTCCAGATATCTTTTGAGATTTTCGTTTTAATATCTTGCTTTTCCCTCTGGGATTCTTATGAGTCCTATTCCTTCATGCTTTGTCCTACCCCAGGATTCAACAACAAGATTTGCATTGGTTTTCACTTGCTTGTCTATGTCATCATCTGATAGAGGGATTTCTGTTCTCCTGTGTTCACAGTCATTCTCACATCCATCTGAATTATCTAGTCTGCTTAGGACTGACTTTAGCACTGCTGTTATCTCATTCATTGAGATTACTGATTTTATTTGTCTTGTCTTTAGAGGTTCTCTTCACCTTTTCTGGTATTGTGCCTTTTGTGATTCTGAGACACTGTTGTTCTTCAGAGTTTCTCTCACCACCTTTTTCAATAATTGCTCTAGTAGTGTTTCACAGTCTTGGTGTTTGAAAGCTTTTTGGGGCCTTCAATCTGTTTGGAACTGAAGATGGTACTTCCTGTTTCTTTTACTATAGTTCTTTATCTCTATTCATCAAGTACTATCTGGTATGTAATGTAGAGTTTTCAGGCTTGGTTAAGTGAAAATTTTAGTCTCTTTGGTGTACACAATTCCATGATATTTATGTGAATACATTTTTTCCTAGACATTGATGCCATGTTGTATTCCTGTGTGTGTTGTCTGGTATATCTCGAAATGCTTGTGTTGCTTTAGTTGTGATGAACCCACCATACTCTCGTGGTTTAGTATAACCTCATTTTTATTACGCTTATGTCACAGTTCTGAAAGTGCAGAGGATCCTTTCTCTAGTGGAAACAAAGCTTGTAAATGATTTCAGATCTGCAGGATATTATATGCCATTTTGGGGTGATTCCAAACCAGCATCATTACACTCACCTTGTACTTTATATTTCACTGGGAATGTCCCAATGTTGCCAGTTTTTCCCAGAGCCTCTCTGTCTACAGAAAAATCTGTAAAAATATATATAAGGATGTCATGCATCAGGGCCTGCTGCCCTTATCATGCAGCCACACCTAGATGTCCTCGGTGCCGTACCATGACAGTGCCATCCTAAATGTAGCATCTACATTTGGGAAATAATGGTGAAGGAAATGTTTCATCTTTCCACACTGTGGACCTAGACCACTTTTTTGTTCTCTCATCATTGTGGCTTTTGACCACAAAGGCAACCACAGAGCTGTCCCGCATCCTTTACTTCATACCAAATATTAGTCCCAGTCCTGGGTATGAAAATAGCTGATCCTAACACTCTGGAAACTGATTTCTTCCCCAAGGAACCCTGGATAACTCAGACCACATGCATGATTTCTCTGATTGAGCCCCATACGTGCTCTATTGGCAAAATGCCAATTTGGTCCCTGGGCTTGCAGAAGCATTGGATGTGGCAATGGGACATTTGTATAAACTGCATTTTGTGCGGCAGGTTAGTTGCTTTCTCATTGGGGTCCAAGGTCAGTTTTGTCCCTTGATAGGGCCAACCACAATCCACAACTCACTCCAGATCCCTGAGATTCAGCATGTGACATCATCCATTGCCCTATCCTCATTTTCCGCAGCCAATGCAAGCTCAAATTTGGCAGCACGGATCTTGGTCTCACAATCAATTATGGGGTTATTTCTTGTACATTTCTTGAGTTCTGACTGACAGGCATCTGCTGTACACTCTTGTAACACTCAGCACATCGCTTTCAATACCATGTGTCTTGTCTGCTTGAGAGTGTGCGCCTAAGTAAAACAGAGTTTCACCTTTGATGCTCTATCTTCGGAGGTCAGATCCGGCACTGATTTCCATTCTCTACTTTTCCATCACCTCCTTCCAGGTTTTCTGAGGCCTCATCCTGTCATTGGAAGTAAGAGACCACCCTTCAGAAAGTGTCCTGAACCAAGGTCTGGGTGAGTGGATGTTTATCTTGCTGTGTACATGCGACCAAGTGTGTATAGGTTGCACTGGTACTCTGCCAACTGGGCATCAATAAATAAACAATTTCCATATATAACTCACAGAAGTGTGATTCTTGTTTATCTCTATTTCCTATACAGACATGGTGGGAGTGTTTGTCCGTAGACTGCACTTTTGACAATGTGTTGATACCTCAGTTGCAGTCTTTCAAAATGTTAATAAAATTCATTTACATATGTTGGTATTTATATGAAAATGAAGTTAGATTTTGAAACAAACTAAATCCACTTACAAGCCAGACTTGTCATATTCAGGTAACATATTGTCAGCAATAAGGGAAAATTAAGCAGATAGAATGTAAAATAGCAGTCCAAAATGATGAAGGGGATACGTCAACGCTTTACTGTTGATGAAACCAACACCAACAGGAACCATGAAATACTTATTGGAACCATGAAATAACCCCCAACCTGGGTTCCCCATGTGCATATGGTGCCCTATCTTCCCAGTGAAACATACTGGCCAATTTTGTCATATCCAAGGGTAACACTCTCTAGGAAAACACAAGGAAACCGAAAGGACTTATTTCTATGTAGGCTTGGTTCCAAAAGCACCTAGAGGCATTACAGCTGTGAGATAACTGCCACAGCTTTGCTAGGCTATTGAGAGCCAGTTGCCCTTCTATCAACGATGTGAAAGCTTAACCTTATGATCATGTTGAGTAATGCAACTTAACCCAACCAAGTCTGCTACCTCATGATATATTGCACCCGGAGCTTGAATGAAGGGAAAAGATGGTCCACATAACATGTGTCCTTACATGTCTATGGCTAGTTTTACAGTTCACTTCAATAACTGACTTATAATAGTTACCTATACTGTCATGAAAAAATGAGGCCTAATACGTATTAAAGTTCAGTCAAAGATTCCCCTCACTTACCACACTCCCTTCACCACAAAGAAGACGTAAACACAGCATTTGCTGAATCAAGGGGTAGTTCATCATTTCTTTGTGTAAGCTAAGTATTGAATTCCTATCTATTATAGTCGAGAGAATTTGAACATTGAGTAGTTCAGTGTTGTGCACAGAGTGTGAAGTTTGAGGAACATTCATTCTAGGATTGGCTTGCTATACCTCAAATGGCTTCATTGCAGCTCAGGTGATGATCCATGAAAATGGATGCCTGAGTAGAGGGGTGGGAAGAGCAAGTGCTTGTTAGCTAGGCCACAAACTGGGAAAAAGCTTACCTGGGCTCGATGCATTATGGTCTGAATTGTTAGGAAAAGCCCATTGGGACGTGTGGATTCTCATGTCCTCTTCCAAGAACATGAGCGTTTTTATGATTTCTGCCATCTCTTCTCTTTTAGACGTCAGGGATATTGGACCCGTTCTTGGAGCAGACAATTGAGTAACTTCCTCATGTCCTCATTGGCATTCAGTATGCTTCTGCCATTATCAGCGAGGTTCAATATGTCTCATGAATGTCTTTCAAGCCTGGTATTCTCTACAGCTGTCTTCATGCCAGTATTCCCCATTGTAGTAGAACATCTCTCATCAATGTATTCGCATCTCTCCTCAATCCATGCAGCCAGCTTTTCTGCCAGCTTCTCTTCATGTCTCCCGTAAAGTCGACTTCAACAAGACTGGGCAAGTCTGAAAGTACCTCGGAGCCACACCAGTAAGCTGATGACAGGCAGATCTTCCACTGTCTGCCCTTTCAGGTTCTGCAAACTGAACCGTGAACTCAGGTTTTTGGCCAGCAGCAATATCTCAAAATTAAACAGCTTCCCAAACAAAAGACCTAAGCCAAGCTCCACAGAGGGCGGCAGCCCTTCCATCATACTGATCCACCCACAGAACTCTGCCCAGTTACCTAGGAACCACCAGCCAAAACAAGCCTCGTGGTACACACCAACATTCCACCTGGAATCCAACCGGTAACTGCCATCCCCAATGGTTGCTGCATCCTGTCAGTGTCGGGGGATGGGCTGCATCAGTCGAGAGGTTCCTGAAGGTAAATGTGATTCTATCCACTAGCGTCCCATGGGCTTTTATCTTACCTCTTTCCTTATGTTCAGATCTGTATGCGCAGTACAAACGGAGGGAAGTGTGTCCATATTTAGTTTATGATTTCACACGTTTTTAAACTTTCTAACAGTTAACAGTACAAAGAGACCCACTAAAGGAAACTTATGTTTCTGCAATATCCATACACCCAGAATACATATCCGTCAGTTGATTTCTGCTGAAACACCCACACTCTCAGGACATGGATCCATTTATTTCATGGGGGCTGAAATTCCAAGAAATGAAACCAATCACAATGTGCACTTTACTGTCTGTCTCTTTTGCTCTTAGTACAGTTTTACACAGCTACTTGTATTTGTTATAGGCTTATGCCATTTATTCTCTACGTAGGGTAGAATATGGCATTCATTCATCCTTTTGGAAGACTTGCAAGTCTGTATCACGGACTATGAATTCATTTTATTTCAAATTGGCATTTGGGTTAGGACACGATATGCTCTTATGAAACAATATTTATGAATATTAATGCACACATGTGTTTTCTGAATACAAGTGCGTTGAGTACATGCAAGCCGCAATACTGAGTCGATGCGTGCTGAATGAAACTTGACATCACCTTGAGTATTTTCTTTTGAATAATCATGGTTCCTTTGGTATATGTCAGCCAACCGTACCCTTTTGGTGCTTGTTTGTTTGATTGTTTGTTTGTTTTGCAAACACATCAGGCCATGCATCTCTCCGTTTGCTTAAAACAGAGAGTCATATAAGGTGATTCACTTAAGATAGTGCTTAAAATCACCTATGATTTCCTACTTTCCCCTCCCATCTTTAGGGTTTTGATGTCTTCCTTGCCTTCTTCTTGTTTATTCTTTGCAACACATGCTCTATTTGCATTTCCAATAATGGTTTTCTTATTTCCATTTCATCTTGCTGCTTTTCTATTCAGGGTAGCATTTTCAATCTTTCTTTTAGGATAAGTTTTGAACTGCTGAATTCTTTTTTTTTTTTGATTTATAATCATTTTACAATGTTGTGTCAAATTCCAGTGTTCAGCACAATTTTTCAGTCATTCATGGACATACACACACTCATTGTCACATTTTTTTCTTTGTGATTTATCATAACATTTTGTGTATGTTTCCCTGTGCTATACAGTGTAAACTTGTTTATCTATTTCACAATTTTGAAATCCCAATCTATCCCTTCCCACCCTCCACCACCCTGGTAACCACAAGTCTGTACTCTCTGTCCATGAGTCTATTTCTGTCCTATATTTATACTATATTTTTGTCTGTTTGTTTTTGTTTCTGTTATTTAGATTCCACATAATACATCACATCAATAAGAGAAAGGACAAAAATGACATGATCATCTAAATCGATGCAGAAAAAGCATTTGATAAAATTCAACATCCATTTATGGTGAATTCTTTTAAGGTTTGACAGTCTGTGGAATTCTCTAGTTCTGCCTTTATTAGAAATGGCGGTCATGTGGCATAGGCTACCATAGATGGCAGCTTTTCCCATTCAGGTTATGGCCTATGTCCTGGCACTCCTCCCTTCCTTGCAATATTGCTGTCAAGATATCAGATGAAACCCCTCTGGAGGTTCTCTTATGACTCTGTTGCTTTCCTCCAGGTGCATTTTAAATCACTGGGAAGCTCATGAAATTTGTTGATTTGAATCATACAGCTGCTGGTAGGTCTATTGGGATTCCACCTCCTTTGGACGCTGTGTACTACCTGAATTCGTATAGATGATTCTTTCTTGGCTTTCAGCAAGTTTCAGTCTGATTTTTCTACAGATAATTCTGCAGACTTTTCTTTTTATCTCTTGTTTTTCCATCTGGGAATCTTATGAATCCTAGTCTTTGATGCCTTGTCTTACTCGAGGATTTAACAGCAATGTTTTCATTGGTTTGCACTTGCTTTTCTATGTCTGCTTCTGATCGAGGGATTTCTCTTCACCTGTCTTCACAGTCATTCACGCGTTCCTCTACATTATCTAGTCTGCTTAGGACTGAACTTTAGCCCTGTTATTATCTCATACATTGAGTTTTCTGATATTATTTGGCTCGTCTTTAGAGTTTCTCTTCCCATTTTCTGGTATTCTGCCTTTTGTGATTCTGAGACACTGTTTTAATTCAGTGTTTCCCTCCACTTCAATTTCAATACTTGCTCTGAAAGCGTTTTGCAGTCTCGATGTATGAAAGCTTATCTTTTGGGCCATCAATCTCTTTGGAACTGAAAATGGTGCTTCCTTTTTCTTTTACTGTACTTCTTCATCTCTACTGGTCAAGTAATATCAGGTATCTAATGTAGAATTATAGTGCTTTTTTAAGTGAAAATTTTAGACACTTGGCTCTATGCAATTCCATGGTATTTCTGTGAGGACAATTTTTCCTAGACATTGATGCCATGTCCTGTTGCTGTGTGTGTTCTCTGGTATATCTCCAACTGCTGGTGTTGCCTTTGTTGTGATGAACACACCATACTATTTCGATTATTATAACCTCATCTTTTTTAGGCTTATCTCACAATTCTGAAAGTGCACGTGACACTTCCTCTTGTGGAAATGAAGCTTCTGAAGGTTCTCAGCTCTGCATTCTGCTGTATGTCATTTTGAGGTGTTTCCAAAACAGCAAAGTGATAGTGCGCTTGTGCTTTCTAGTGCCATAGGAATGTCCCAATGAAACCAGTTCTTCCCAGAGCTTCTCTGTCTACAGAAACACCAGTGGAAACATATCTATGGATGTCGTACATCAGGCCCTGCTGAAATGATCCCATAGACCGGCCATGGTGTTCCCAGTGCAGTAAAATGTCAGTGCCATCAAAAATGTAGCATCTGCTTTTGGGAGATAATGCTGAAGGAAATACTTCATCTTCTCACGATGTGGACTTTGACCACTCATCCTTGTTCTCTCATCCTTGTGGCATGGGTGCACGAGAGCACTCACAGAGCTGTT